GGACCTTCCAGTATATGCTGGAAGCATGTATGCCTGTGGTCTGACTGAAGTTTTAGATGGATTGCAGCATGAAGTTGCCATTGGGGGTGGTGTCTCTCTTTCTCTCTCTCTCATTTCTTTCTTTATATCTCTAATGCAAGTAATATATAATTAAACTTAACAAAAAGTCCATGAGAGTACTTCAATATTAGTGCCATTCAAATGCTATATAATATCAAACTGTAAGCTTTTCCTAATCTGATGATTTTGCCAATTTGATAGTAATTTTAATTTACATTTCTTTAAAGTCATGAATTTAAATATCTTTTCAAATATTTATAAGTCAATTTTCTGTTTATCTTTGCATTTGCCTTTTGTGGTTCCATTTTCATGTATCTTTACATGAAATTGTCATAAGACTTTCCAATTGATTTTTAAAATTGGTTTCCAAGTTTTTTATGTGTTAAGAAATTTATCTTGTTTCTGTCATATTGTTACAAATTTTTCTTCCTTGGTTGTTTTGTCTTAGACTTATTGTAAATAAGCACCCTAGTAACATTCTGCCAAGATGGATATGAGAAGATGGTAAGCTAGCTAGATAAAAAATAGCCTTCGTAGTTCATTAGATTTTATCTATAATGGAAGCAATTTGTTTGACTTGAAAATAAAACACAATGAAAAACTGACAAAACTATAAAATACTTTGGAATAAATTTGGAAAGACTATTCAGTATCTTCATATAGAAATCTATATATTGCATTAAGGACTATAAGAATACCTGAACAAAGTTCAAGTCATAGTGTGGTCCAGGATGTGAAAATTAATTTTCTATTTCTAAATAAATATAAAATACTACTTTTAGAAAACTACTACTTTGTACGTTTTTCTTTCTAGAAATATAACGCCAAATTTACAATTTAAATGGACAAATAGTATAGTTCTTCAAATTATGAAACAATTCCACAGTCAGAGGGTTCTTATCAGATATTAAAGTTGACTAAAATGTAATTATAAAAACAAGCGTGATAATTGCAAAAGGACGGATAAATAGATTAGTAGAAGAACATGATGCCCAGAAATATATTTAAATATATGTAGAAATGTAATATGTGACAAATACATTATTTCAATTCGGTAATTGAAGGAGGTTTTTAATAGCTAAGTAAAATGGCTACCCGGGGCTCATCTTGGGGTACCGTGGTAAGGCGTGGCAACGAATTCATATCCCATGAGGTCAGCTGGGATTTGATTCCTACCCACTAGCTCCATAGTAGGCTTGTACATGCGTGTGTGCCCAAGATCCTGGTGGCATGGAAAATCAGAGGAACAGAATCGAAGCATGGCCAGACACTATTGGTCTCTTTCTCTCTCATGCACACCCTCCCTATCATGAATAACAATAAGTAAAAACTTTTTAGGGGCCAGTAGGTGGCATAGTGGTTAAGGCACTGGACTCCCTCACAGTTGGCTGCTGAATGTTGTTGGAGTCCTGGGCCTGGACCTTGAGAATCAAGCCGAGTGTGTGTGCCTGTGTGCCCAAAATCTCAGGAGGAGATTCGAGGAGCAGGAACACCGTGGTATGGCCATACCCTGGGGTGGTTTCTCACTTTGCATCTCTTGGTCTCTGTCTCTCTGTTGAGCTCACAAGCCCAATGGCAAAAACCTTGAAATAAATAACTTTTTTTAATTTTTTCTTTTTTGGAGAGGTTTCCACTACAGGGCACATGTGCTCACCAGAAAGACAGAGAGACAGAGAGACAGAAAGTGAGAAATCACCCCCCAGGGGGGATGGCCACGCCGCAATCCCTTCTCCTCCATTCTCCTCTCCGGATCTTGGGCACACACGCACACGTGCCCAGCGTGAGTTTAAGCTGCCGGGTCCAGAACTTGAACCGCGGTCGACTAAATGGGAGTCCAGTGACATAGCCATTATGCTAACTGCTGGTCCCTAAATAAATAACTTTTAAAAAAGGCTATCCAACTTAAAGAATATAGATATAGTCTCTTACTTCAAATTATGTAGAAAGTAAAAAGTAACATAGCTTAATTTTTTTAAAGATAAAAAATTAGAAAACAAAAACCTTTTAAAAATCATAAAGAATATCTTTCAAAATATTTTTATATACTTTAAGAATATCTTTTAAAATATTTATCTAGTTTAAGAATATCTTTAAAAATATTTATTTATCTACTAAAAATTTTATTTAAGAATATTTTTATGCTAAAAAAGCAAATCTAAAAACTTTGAAAACAAAAGGTATATTTGACTACATAAAGATTAGAAGGTATACACATTTGAAGAACATATTAGCAAAATTAAGTTAGAAACAATAGTCTGAGGAAAATAGTCACAATATTTTTGTCAGAGAAATATATGATTTACCAAAAACATTGATAATAAAAACAAAATTAAGTCAATGGAAAAGAGGCAAATCATATAAACAATCAATATAGACTAAAGGAAACCTAAATGCTAGTAAATTAATGGAAAGGATACTTAACCTCCATTATAGCAGAAAAATATAAATTAAAAAATGACATTCCACTTTTTTGCCATTGAATTGTCAAAAAATAAAAAGTGGTAAAACTCAACACTGTCAAAAATGTGGGCAAAACGCATGCATTTATTGCTGGTAGTGGGAGATTATCAGGTAATAACATTTATAATTAGTAATTGATAGTACTGTATCTATACCTTGTGATCCAGCAATCCCATTTCTGAGAATCTTGTATGTGTGTGTGTGTGTGTGTCAGAGACTGTGTGTGCATGCACACCTGAGAAAAAAAGAGAGAGAGAGAGAGAAAGCATCCAACAGGTCCTGATCATACTGCAATTCTTTTTTCTCTCCATTTCTCCATCATGTTAAGATCCTAGCACAAGACTTCAATTGAAGTTGGCCATGTGGGTTCTGGCTCCCACTGCTCATAAGGTAACTGTGATGCTATGAGACTGACCTTCTGAAAATCTTACAAAAGTTCAAGTGCTTATATATAAAGATATCACCCTACAACATTTACTTGATTATTTCTATACTGACCAAAAAACAAAACAAAACAAAAACAACGACAAAAAAATGACCTGGGAAAACATTTAATATAAATTCATGTGAATGATGAATGTTTAGAAAACATAGTCTACAGATCTGAGAACCAACTGGAATTTTATTTTTTCCTTTTATAAAGCAGAAGACTATTTTAATTGGTCTTATAATCATTATACTTTTTGAATGTCACAAGTAACTCATCGAGATGTTACATAGGTACCATAAAATTAGCTTGCTCTATATTTATTGACTTGAAGAGATGCCTATAACATGTTTTGGGCTAAAAAATAAATAACAGAGAAATGAGTATCATATGATCTTATTATAGTTAAAACAAAAGATAGAACGTTATACATGAAGGGATTTCAAAAATTGTGGAAATATTGAAGTATGAATTCAGTGGTACCACATTAAATGAAAATTCAACCTTTCTCAAGTTTATATTTCTAAAACCTACGTAACATTTAACGTTCAGATGAAGAGCACACCGCTGAAAACTGTTCTGGAAAGCGGTTATTATGCGATGCTTTCTCATAAGACCAAATTCCAGGGAGAAATCCCCAAACTAACTGGCAAAAATTAATGCTTCTTCACGCACACTCCTATGTATAAGCTCACAACCTAAAATAAGCCACTCTATGGAAGTGTTGCTTGTGCCCAGTAATGGCAGGGCAGTTCTGAGGTTACTCAATCCCTTCACATTTTGGTTTCATTATCTGTAAAATGGGGATGATAAAACGTTGGTTTTATTGTAAGGACTCAATAAAGAAATTTATATAATTCACTTGACACATAGGATGTGGTCAGTAAATAATAGTAATTATTATTATTTTAATAATTATAAATAATAATTTATTAAAATAATAGCAATTATTGAAACAGATGCTTATTGTTGTCCTAGCTTTATTTTCAATGATTTCTTACAGGAGGAGTCAGGGAATGTCACCATGACTAGTTCCCCAGGTCCCTAACCATGGTGCCAGTTTTAATGGTCAGATGACATGAAAGAGAAAGATCAAGCTAAATAGTGGGTTAGAGACCCCAGTATGATGGGGTCAGCACCAGTTCTCCAGGGGTAACTCCTGTGGCCATGCTGCTATTTGCTCCTGAGTATCTGTTCTT